TTTCACTGAGTCTCAAGCAGCCAGCCTTGATTTATCCTGTGCATCCACCTGGCAGCAAGGTGAAACTGGAACCGTGGTTTCCCCAGAAGGAAGGTGGCACTTTCTGAATATGGCTTTGCTGTAGAAGGAAAAGCCAGGACCTGTCAGTGTTGGAATCGAACTTGAGTTCTATCTATTTATGTATTTGTTCTGCATTGGTAAGTGTAAGCTCGGATAAACATCTTTAAATCCTCTTAGGGATTTTGCAGTTTTTGCATTAGTGACTGAGAGTAGTTGCAGACATTGGCACTGTTTGCTAGATTTCTTAGTGTTCAGAGAGTTAAATAAAATATATGGTGACTAAATGGAAGAACCAGGAAGAGCTCGTATTGGCATTGGGGGTTGCTATCGCTCTTTTTGAGTATGGAGTTTTAAAAATCGGTTTGCTTATTAAGTAGGAAAATAAAAAGTGGATCATACTATACGTGCATTTAGCAGACATTTCAGCACTGGAAATGTGCGAGGCATTTTGCCAGGCTTATAGGAGATGCAAAGCTGCACACAAAAATAATACCTGCTCTCTGCATGCACACAGTCCACTGGGGAGACGGACGTGTACACACATCATTGTTACCCCAAAACAGTCATGTTTTCAATCCCAGAAGGTGGTTGGAAATGTGAGGGGAATCATTTTATTTTATTGTTTCTTTATGAGATTTAAAAAAATTGAGGTATCCTTGATATGTAACATTATATTTGTTTCAGGTATATAACATAATGATTTGAGATTTGGATATATTGTGAAGTGATCACAATAAGTCTAGTTAATAGTTAGCAGCAGTCACATTATATAGTAACAAAAAATAGTTTTTCTTGTGATGAGAACTTTTAAGATTTGACTCCCATAGCAACTTTCAAATATGCAGTACAGTTACCATGCTGTACATTAAGTTTGTACCTTTTGATACCCTCACCCATTTTGCCAGCCGCCTTTACCCCCATCCCACTTCTGGCAACCACCAATCTGTTTTTTACATCTGTGAGCTTGTGGGTTTTGTTTTGTTGCTGTTGTTAGATTCTACATATAAGTGATATCATATAGTATTTGTCTTTCTCTGACTTATTTCATTTAGCGTAATACCCACAGGGTTCAACTATGTTGTTGCAAATGGCAAGATTTCATTCTTTTTTATGGCTGGATACTATTCCATTGTGTGTATATATTCATCACATTCTCTTTTTTCCTTCATTGATGGACACTTAGGTTGTTTCCATATCTTGGCTATTATAAATAATGCTGCTGGAAACACAGGTATAGATATCTCTTTTTCAAGTTAGTGTTTTCATTTTCTTCTAGTAAATACCCAGAAATGGGATTACTGGGTTGTATGGTAGTTGTATCTTTAATTTTTTGAGGAACCTCTGGACTATTTTCAATAGTGGTTGCACCAACTTAGATTACTATATTCCCACAGTGCATGAAGGTTCCCTTTTCTCCTTAACCTCAGCAACACTTTTTATTTGCTCTTTTTGACAGTAGCCATTCTAACAGGTATGGGGTGATATCTCTTTGTGTGTGTGTGTGTGTGTTTTAAGTATGGTTGATTTACAATGTACAATGTACTGGTTTCTGGTACACAGCACAGTAATTCAGTTATTAGATATAAACATTCTCATCATGGTTTTGATTTGCTTTTTCCTGATGATTAGTGATGTTGATCACCTTTTCATGTATCTGTTGGCCATCGGTAGGTCTTCCTTGGAAAAATGTCTATTCAGAAATTCTGCCTATTTTTAAATTGTATTGTTTGTTTTTTTGCTATTGAGTTGCATGAGTTTTTTTTTTCAATTTTGATGTTAACCCTTTATCAACCATATGATTTGCAAATATTTTTTCCCATTCGGTAGGTTGTCTTTTCATCTTGTTGACGGTTTCCTTTTCTATGCAGAAGCTTTTTAGCTTGATGTAGTCTCACTTGTTTATTTTTGCTTTTGGTGTCAAATCCAAAGAATTATACTCAAAGCTGACATCAAGAAGCTTATTGCCAATGTTTCCTTCTAGGAGCTTTATGGTTTCAGGTGAGGGGTATTATTTTAATTGTCATAATCACTGGAGTTCATCTTTTGGTCAGGTCCAAAGATGCTGACTGTCCTACAATCTTGGGAAGAATTCCATACAACAAAAAGTTTTCTGGTTCAAAATGCTGGTGGCACATTAAGTGAGGATCTGGGTAAAGGACAAGCACAGGGCTAGATGGAGAGGCTGCAGCTTTTGGGGAGTGGACACTGAGGTGATGCCTACAGGCAGGTGGGGTTCTGACAGGCACAGTTGGGCACAGGGACATTCTACCTGGAGGGGCAAGGGGAGTTAAGGCCAACAACGTAAGGACAACAACACGCAGGGCGGAGTCTCAGAGTGACAGGTAACTCAGGGATTGGGGAGTGGAAATAAGGCTGGGAACATATACTAGGTCGTCAAAGTGCCATGCTAAGAAGTCTGGATTCTATTTGCTGGGGAGTGAGTAGGCTTTGGAACAAGAGCAAAACTGTGCTTAGGAAGGATGAGTCTGGGCCTGGTGTGTGGGATGGGGTGGAGAGGTCCGCTCCACCACTTGTGGGGCTGTGACTCTGGGCAGTTTTACTTAACCTCTCTTGGCCAGTGTTATCTCATTTGCAGTATACCTAGCCCTCAAACTGTCATGAGGTTTAATTAAATAGACATAATGTATGTCAAGAACACAGCACACACTGCACAAGCTCAGAAAACTGGTGGTTATTATTTGTGGTTTTGGGTTTGTTGGTTCCTGCTGCCACCACTACCAGCTGCTGGCTGGTAAGCTGACCATAGATGTGCAGACTGGTGTGTCTTGGCACACAGGTGCGTGAGCAGCTGTGAAGGACAGTTCTGGTCTTTCCCCTGGACCTTCCTTTCCACTGCAGAACTAGGAGAGGCCGAGCTGGAGCCCAGGACCCATCCCTGTCCCCAAGTGGCGAAATCACGACGGGGTGCTCGGAGTGGGAGGAACCTCGGAGTGAACTTGTGCAGCATTCTCAATTCCAGAAGAGGAAATTCAGACCAGAAGGGGACCGTACTAGCCTGGTGTCACACACCAGTGTGATCAGGGTCGGAACTGACCCAGGTGTTTGAATCCTAGTCCCTGCCTCCCCTGCACTCTCCCGCGGGGGAGGGGAGAGCTGGAGGCTGGGCTGTGGCCCCCTCCCCACTCTACTCTCACCCCCGGAAGGTGGGAAGGCCCTAAGCAGGGGGCGAGGGGACTTCAGTTAGAGGAAGCAAGAACATCTGATGGAGGCCTTCCGCTCTGAAACTTCCCCCGGCTCCCGACACATTAAGAGTCAGATTCAGACTCTCCAGCGTGGCCTCCGAGACCTCCCTGTGTGGCCTGACCTGCGGACACAACCTGTCTGTCCTTGCTCCTCTGCATGCTCTGCTTTGCTGACACTGGGACTTTTTGCATCACCTTCCCGAGTCACCTTCTTTCCCCTGCTACAATCCTGTGCCTCTTTCCCAGTCCAGCTCAGGGGCTTCCGCGTCTGTGAGGCTTCCTTGTCCCTAACTTGAGAAGGGCTCCCTCTGCTGCCTTAAGCATTTGGCCTTGGCCCTGTCTGTTGTGTCCTGTGTCACAGCTGGTTGACTGGCACGTACCACCTGTCTCTGGGGCTGTACATACTTTGAGGGTGAGGACTGTGTCTTTGTTAGCATCTCAAAGGCGGGCCTTGTGACATTCGTGCTGGCATCCTCAGGGCCAGCCTCAGAGCCTTCCCTATCTTCGATAATGATCAGTATTGCTTTTCTTTTTTAACTGAAATATAGTCAGTTTATGTAGTAATGTGTCAATTTCTGGTGTACAGCATAATGTTTCGGTCATACATATATGTACATATATTCCTTTTCATACTCTTTTTCGTTATAGGCCATTACAAGGTATTGAATATAGTTCCCTGTGCTGTACAGTAGGACCTTGTTGTTTATCTGTTTTATATACAGTAGTTAGTGTCTGCAAATCTCGAGCTTCCAGTTTACCCCTTCCTACCTCCTTTTCCCATGGTAACCATAAGTTTGTTTTCTATGTCTATGAGTCTGTTTCTATTTTGTAAATAAGTTCATTTGTGTCTTTTTTTTTTGGATACCACATACAAGTGATATCCTATGGTATCTTTCTTCCTGGCTTACTTCACTTAGAATGACTATTTCCAGGTCTGTCCATGTTACTGCAAATGGCATTATTTCATTAATCAATATTTCTTCATTGGGATTACCTTTTTCTCTCTTCCTCTGATGCTTAGTAACTGGCCAACAAATCTTTGTTGAACTGATTTGAGGAGGGACTGAGGAAAGACTAGCATGAGAGAAGCATTTGTTCCTCCAATTATTTACAAAAAATAGCCCAGGCCTGAAGTCGTAAATGACACTGGCAGCCCAGCTGATGGCCCATGTGTCCCAGCTTCCTGGAGTGGCAGTGGCAGCCTTGCTAATGACCACACTCCAGAAACTGGCGAGGCGGGTGCCCTGCAGAGAGCTGGGGGAGGCAAGTGGGTAGGAGAGGGGAAAGGAAGCTTCAGCCTTTTGATATACTCATCCACCATTTCTTCTCATAAAGCCACTAATAGAATCATTAATGCTGGTTTTTAATTTAGACAGTTCCTTTCACCTGAGCAATTCTGCGGTTTAATGAGCAGGAAGCAAGCAGATGGCTTGGGAGGTTGCTCTAATAACTTTATTTTTGCAAAATGAAAGAAAAGGGTCCCAAAGAACTAGGTTATGTTTAGACAACTGCGCAGTAAGTTCAGAGTCAAACCAGAAACTGAGATCCATCCCTGACTCCCACTGACAGCAAGCCCACACAGCCGCTCCAGCCTGGAGGTCTCAGAGCTCTTGTCCATGTATCTGAGAACTAAGAGGCTTTGCAGTGCGCCTTGCACAGAACTCTCAGGCCTTTGTCCTTCCTCAGGGCTGTCTCCAGAGAGTCCCCAGGGAGGAAGAGTCTGGGAGGGCGGCTTACCGACCTGCAGTGGAACTCCATGTGTGTGGTCCCTACCCCAAGGTGTCAGGCCTGCTGACGCTCTGGGTGATGTTCCCGTTGCTGGGGAAGCGCAGCCCATTCGCAGCCCTTTAGTGGTTTCCCTTGTACCAGCAGCTTGGCTGGCTTCTGAAAGCCTGGGGAGCAAGCCCAGGCTCGGGTAGTAGGCTCTATTTATCTGACCTGCTGGCTCTATGCTGGCTATGGAGAGAAGAGGTGACCAGAGACCAGAGAAAGGGCTGGAGGCTGGGGCAGGGACGCGAGGTGTGACTTGCAGCCTTCGTTCTCTAAGGACGGACACTGAAGTCGACCTTTAAACACCTTGTCTTGATTTCCAGGCCAAACTGGCCTCTTCCCCTCACAAAGCTTACCACAGACTGCAGCTGCATAGCTCAAGGCTGTTGGAAAAAGTCATTTGTTCCTAAAAAAAAAAAAATTCTTTTTTGAAGACTGCAGTGCATCCCACCACCCGGGGCATGTGTCATGGAACAAACAAGGGTCTTTTGGGCTCTGTTTCAGGCCATTAACTTAATGGCTCTGGTTCTTGGAAGCTCTGCTAAGGACAAGGATCACCCTCTTACATAAACATACTCATCTGGCTGAAAAACACGTGGTATTGTTTTCTGAGTAATGGTCGTTTGAAGTTAATGTGTGTGTTTTTTGCCTTCTGATTATTGTGAATATTACTTAGGCTCCTTTGGAAGAATGGTATCCGCCCCAAGAAACTCAAAGAACAACAGAATTTTCTTTCCTCCCCATCAGACTGGGTATTATAATCATCTTGCGCCAGTTGAGGACTGGTACCCAGCCATCACTGCTGAGAAGATAATTAGGAGATAATGTCAGTGGCAGAGAAGGTTGTCGGAGCAGAGTGGTCTCCTGCAGTTCTCAGAGTGCTGAGTGTTCGTGCAGGGAGGGCAGGGGGTGAAATCCTTAGTGGAAGTAAATTTGGAGGAAGAGCCAACTTTTGCCACTAAGGAGATGATCAGCTTGTAGCAGTATTCTGCCAACCGCATTTCCTACCAAATGTCCCTCCAACTCTCTTCCTTGAACTCCCTTACATAGATGTGGGCAGAGGAGGGCATCACTGATTATTCCAATACACGACTAAGATAAGGAGGCAGCTAATTGAGTCTAATTCACTGAAGAGGCAACCAATTTTATGCCGAAGCTTGACTTTCGGTTGGTAAATATTTTGCAGTTGGTGCTCATCCCCTGAAAACTGAATGCCAAATGTTTTTACATGACAGATTGCTCAGTGGATGGGCAGAAGGGTGAGCAGTCAGGGGATCACTGGTGGGGGGCCCCAGGCCTTGGTTCTAGCCTGTGTTAGTGGGTTGACCTGTTTCCCCTGCTGCCGGGGCCTGTAGCAGGAGGGACATGGGCTGGATGGGGACCAGGGTCTGCGAGGCAGGCTTTGTGATGAGACTCTAGCTCCAAATTTAGATTTGCCAAAGTGAACAAAAATGCAGTCCTCCCTCTCCACTATATGTGACAGGCTAGTAGAACATTCTGGAAAAGTGTGTGTGTGTGTGTGTGTGTGTGTGTGTGTGTGTGTGTGATGCTTATTTATGGAAGCATCATGTTCCTTAAGGTTTTAGGTAGAATGTGATACCTTGTCTTTGTAAACTTGGTCGGTCACCAGCAGTCGGTCAGCGGTGGGCAATCGGCTGTGACTGCAGGACTTCTCTTGCATGGGGATTATTTGCTCCCTCTCCCCTTCCTCTCTGTTTCCTCCCCACCCTTATTTGTTCTGTTTCAGAGCAGACCAGGTAGCAACCCAGGAACCCCACATACTATTCCTCCTGGAAGATGGAATTCATACTTAACCTTTGATTGAGCACTTAGCACAGTGCCTGGCCCCTGGGAGATTCTATATGAATTCGTGGGGTGAATAAATGAAAAAAGTTTTTCATATTCTTTCCATTTCTCTTCAAGAAACTAGACAAGAGAGGTGACGCTGGTGCCTTTAGGTTGTGATGCTTCTGGTCTGATTCATGAAACCCTTATCTACCCAAACCCAGGTGTCCCCAGGAGGGCTTTTATTCTGCATCTGCATCTGGGAGTGACCACAGGGACTGCTGGTAGGGACGGGCTTTCTTGTTACTGGGGACCCCACAGGGACACAGAGCCTGGCCGTTCACTCAAATTCTTCATATTCAGAAGGTCCTGTCACTTACTGCAGCTGGTTTGATGGCCTCTTTCTTCATAGCCCAACACTCCAGGAGTGAATGCAGACAGTCACATAGACAAGTCCCAGGGTGGGATATTCACTGTCTGAAAACAGATAAAAACAAAATCCATTATAGCAAGAAAAGAGAAGAGTTTATATCCTAACAGAACTTATAATTACTGATATTTATTTTCCTTTGAGAAGAGACAGTTGATGAGCAGAGACAGACTCTGAGGAACTGTGATTATATTTTTTTACATAAGGAAAATATTCTTTTTTTGTAAAATTTCATAAAATTTAAAAATATTACAAAAGTAAATAAAGTCAAAGGTGTATATCCATGTCAGCCTGCTCGCTTCATGGTAATAACCAGGTTGAACAGACAACATTGGTCCTGCCATATGCCTTTGGGGCCCCTGCTCAGGTTCCCTGTAAACAGTTCTCATATGCACAGCCCAAGCAAGGGCAACAAATTTCTCTGGAGCTCTATCTCTGTGGGGCAATCCTGAAGGGCCCCCAGGAGTTTGGGCCCCAGGTACCTGCAGTGCCCATCAACAAAGTCTCACTTGGCTTTATCCCTTCCAGTCTCATTACTGCACTCCCCGCTCTTAGTGCTTCCTGGGATCACTTCCCAGATAAAGTGCTAACATGTAAACCCTTGCCTCCAGGTGTGCTTGGGGAACCCTACCACACTCACAACTACCTCCCAGATTTATGCTGTCTGCACTTGGGACCCAGGGAGAGGCCGTGTTTGGGGACACCCCTGCCTTTCCACCTCACTCTTTTCTCTCCAACCCAAGTCTCTCCGTGCTTCTACTTTTGCTGCTCAGAATTCTGGTCCAGAGCTCATCTCCCTTCCATTGAGTCACATTCTCACCCAACACACCTTTTCTTGTTTATTTCCATAATGTAAATACTATTGTTAGAGGGACATCTTAATTTACAATACAATATGTTTTCAATAAGCATTTGCTCAGCACATGGGTCAGTCATCAAAGCGTCAAACACAGGGCAGACTTGAGATGAATAGCTATTGTCTCTACCCTCAAAGTAGGAGAGTAGGGAGACAGAGACGGACGTTAGTGAAATAGTTACCATATAGAATGCCAAGTACTATCAAGTGGATGGGGGAAGAAAATTGGTATTGGAGTTAGGAACTCAAAATGCCTTTTGCAGTAGAAACCATGTAATGTGTGATGGTTGTCAGGCAGGTGGAATAGATTGAATAGTGGCTCCCCAAAGATGTAAACATCCTAATCCCCAGAACCTGTGAATGTGTTATGTCTTATGGTAAAAGACTCTGCAGATGTGATTAAATTATAGATCTTGAGATGGGGGGATTTATCTTGGAATATCCAAGTGAACCCTATGCAATCACAGGAGTTCTTATAAGAAGGAAGCAGAAATATCAGAGTTAGGGTGATTTAAAGATGCATCACTACTAGCTTTGAAGACAGAGGAAGGGGCCATAAACCCAGAAGTGAAGATATCTTCTAGAATCTGGAAAAGGAACCAGTCCTACGAACACCTTGGCTTTAGTCCAGTGAAACTGATTTTGGACTTCTGGCCTCCAGAATTATAAGAGAGTCAATTTGTATTATTTTAAGCCACTGAAATTGTAATTTTTTACAGCAGCAATAGGAGACTAAGACATGAGGTTAATTAAAAAAAAAATCTGTTACCAGATAAAAATACAGCATACCCAGTTAAATTTGAATTTCAGATAAATTATAACTAATTTTTTAAAAATTAAAACTGTTTGATAGAAGTATGTCCCCTGCAGTATTTGGGATATACTTATACTGAAAATTTGTTTGTTGTTTCTGAACTTCAAATTTAACAGAATGTTTCATATTACTATTTGTTAAACCTGGCAACCCTACCAGTAGCTGAATTGGGCAGAGGCCCCGTCAAGGGTGGGCCTGAGGCCTCCAGAGACCCTCCCTCAGTTTCCCAGTCCCTTCGAAAACTGAGCCCTTCTAATCCTCAGCTACCTCGTGTCCTGGTCCTCTCAGCTTAGCCACGGGGCAGCCCTGTGGGTGAAGAAGGGTTGGTCTAGATGGTGAGAATGCCCCCTAGAGGCACAGCCCCCTGTGGCCAATGTAGGTCCTTCCTGGGTCAGCCCTGGGAGCAGGCAACTGCCTCTGCACTGGACACTCTGGAGAGCCCTGTGACTTTCACAGTCCGCTGGCCAAATGAATACATCCATGAGAAGCCAGCAACACTCTTAGAAGAAATTGCCATGATCACCTTAATGGCTTAAGAAATGCAAATTCAAACAACAACAAAGTATTATTTTTTGCCTACCAAATTAGCTGAACTTTCTAAGAGAATAATGGCAGAGGGGTGCTTATGGTGTCCCAGGCACCTGGAGATGGACTCTCTGATGTAGCACCCACAGCAGCTGTTGATGTGTGTTCTTCATCCTCATTGCTGACAGTGAATGAGGCTTAAGTGAGGCTAAGCCATGAGAGAGGACAGTGGCTGGGGCTCCACACCTCAGCCCACACTCCTCCCATGTGGCCCGGGGCTGGTGGAGGATGGGGGAATGGCTGCATCCTCTCCAGAGGGTAACTTGACCATACCTCACACAGTTTAAATTCACATCCTCATCCATCCAGCAATCTCACTTCTACTATGAGTATGTAGAGGAGTGTGTGCAAAGACATTTATTACAGCACCCTTTACTATGATAAAATGTGGACAATTGTTCATCAGTAGGGGCCTGATCAAACAAGTGATGTCACATTCATAAAAATGGGGCATATTGATAAGTGTATGTGAAGACAGATATCTTGGTGACATATGAGTACCACTGAGAAAGTTGTAGAATAGTAATAACATCATTATATTTTGGTTTAAAAAAGTATCTTTTTATCTCTATCTCTATCTAATCACAAATTCTTTTTTTAATTGAAGTGTAGTCAGTTACAATGTGCCAAATTCTGGTGTACAGCATAATGTTTCAGTCATATATATATAAATATATTCCTTTTCCTATTCTTTTTCATTATAGGTTACTACAAGATATTGAATATAGTTCCCTGTGCTGTACAGAAGAAATTTGTTTTTTGTATCTATTTTATGTATAGTAGTCAATATTTGCAAATCTCATAGTCACAAATTCTTTGATAAACAGGTATGAATTTTGAAGTCAAGGCCAAAAGGCTACTGTATTTCCTGTCTCATCGTTTGAATCTCTCTGAACTTGTGCCTCACCTCCTGCCAGGCAGTGTCCTTTCTGTGCCAGCACAGCCCTTCCTCACTTCACCTAGGGCCTTGCAGCATGCGGTCCCCAGAGCCTACAGTGCTGCCTGACTCCCTCCCTGACACACCCATTTAATTCTCCTCATCTTCGAGGTCAGCTCAGACCCCGCTCACACTGCTGCCACCCCTCCAGGAGAGGTTCTCAACCTGTGGCAGACTCTGGGCAGTCTTGCCTCCAAAGTACCTAGATCACTTCCACACAACCGTTAAGCCCTCTGCGGTGCCCTGACTGTTCCATGTGAGCGGCGACAAGACTATAAGCCTCGTGGCAGCAAGAGTAGATCTTCCTCTCTGGTCTTCCCCTTTGGCGTCCTAGCAGACCCTAGGGCAGGTGCAGTCTGTTTCTGGCCAGAGAGGCGGAGCCCTAGAGTTAATTCTCACGTGTCCTTGCCAAATTGGATGCGATACAGCAGTAGAAAGGCTTCAGTTCAAATATGTATGGCTTGTATCTCTTGGTCTGTGTACCTTGAACCTATTAACTTACGAAGTTAAACATAGTTGCAAATGTTACCAAGGTTGTTTTTTTAAAAAATATTTTCTGTTTTTACAAAAGCAACACATTTATTATAGAAATATTGAAAAATACAAAAGTAAAACACCTATAATTTCACCCCCTCATCCTCCCTTCTCATAGAACATGTAAAGTGAAATAGGAATAGAAAAGATCCTGCCACTGTCCCAGAGCTAAACCCTGTGACTTAGTGATTTGGAACAAACCAGGTGAGACTTTTGTTCCTATGTTTATACTAAATGTAATATTTCTCTATATTCTGTCTTTCTATCTATCTATCTACCTACCTCTCATCTCAGCAGAAAGGCAAACTTCTATTCCCTCATTTTTAACACTTCTTTTTAAAGAAATATTTTATTTTAATTATTTTATTTTTGGGGGGGTAATTAGATTTACTTATTTATTTATTTTTAGAGGAGGTCCTGGGGATTGAACCCAGGATCTTGTATATGCTAAGCATGTGCTCTACCACTTGAGCTATACCCTCCCCCGTCTTAGCACTTCTTGTACCCAGGACCCAGGAGTTTCTGCCATGCTTTCCCCTTTATATTTGCTATCAAAAAGCTCTGTGGGACATGAAAAGATGCTCAACATCACTAGTCATTAGGGAAATGCAAATCAAAACCACAATGAGATACCACTTCATACCCATTAGGATGGCTATTGAAAAAAAATCCAGAAAATAAGAGTTGGCAAGGATGTGGAGAAATTAGAAGCCTATACTGGGGATTGCTGGTGGGATTGCAAAGTGATGCAGTCACTGTGGAAAATGATATAATGATTCCTCAGGAAATTAAGTGGAATTACCATGACCCAGCAATTCCATTTCTGGGTATATACTCAAAAGAATTGAAAGCAGGGTTTTGAAGAAATATTTGTACACCCTTGTTCATAACAGCATCATTCACAGCAGCCAAAAGATGGACACAACATAAGTGTCCATTGATGGACGAATGGGTAAACTAAATGTGATATATACATATAGTGGAATATTATTCACCCTTTAAAAAGGAAGGGCATTTTGACACATGCTACAATATAGATGAGCCTTGAAGACATTATTCTAAGTGAAATAAGCTAGTCACAAAGGACAAATATTGTATGATTCCTCTCATATAAGGCTGTTAAGAGTATTCAAATTCACAGTAACAGAAAGTAAAATGGCAGTTGCCAAGGGAAATGGGAAATTATTGTTTAATGAGTACAGAGTCCCGGTTGGGGAAGATAAAAAAGTTTTGAAAGTGGATGGTGGTGATGGTTGTCCAACAATGTGAGTGTACTTAATGCCACAGAACTGCACACTTAGAAATGGTTAAAATGTTAAAA